TCAGATGAGAATAATGTTACATTGTTAATTAATAATGTTAATTAAAATTAAGGAAAACAAATATATTTATCTGAAATATAGCAAATTAATTTGAAATTAATTCAGGTACAATTACCAAACATATCGCAAGGTCTTTTTGTCTTTTTATTAATTTAATTAATAAACGAATTATATAAAACTATTGTCAGTGCACTACAAATAAACTGGTTCTATGCCTTTATTAATAAAACTTATTTTAAAAATACAATGCCTTCTGCATTTTTGTTTTGCTTTTCCCTCCATTGTACCGAAATCGTACCGAACCGTGATGTCTGAACCGAGGTATGAACCGAACCGTGACTTCTGTGTACCGTTCCACCCCTATTGGATAGATAGATGGATGGATGGTTGGATATATGGATGGATGGTTGGGTATATGGATGGATGGTTGGGTATATGGATGGATGGTTGGGTATATGGATGGATGGTTGGATAGATGGATGGATGGTTGGAAATATGGATGGATAGATAGATAGAAGGATAGATGGATGGTTGGATATATGGGTGTGGATGGATGGATGGATGGTTGGATAGATGGATGGATGGTTGGATAGATAGATGGATGGATGGTTGGATAGATGGATGGATGGTTGGATATATGGATGGATGGATGTTGGATAGATAGATGGATGGATGGATGGATGGATGGATAGATGTGTAATTGAGCTCTTTTTCTCGTTTAATTAATCGATTGTTTTCTCTCTCTATCAGGTTACAAGCTGAACGAGTTTGACTGGGAGAAATACCTGGAGGCCTGCAACGCTCCAGCGGCACCAAAGACCCTCTTCAGATCCCAGACCAGCGTAAGTCCACTCTATACACTACTCTCTCCCTCAGGACTCAGACCCCAGACCAGCGTACGTCCACTCTATACACTACTCTCTCCCTCAGGACTCAGACCAGCGTACGTCCACTCTATACACTACTCTCTCCCTCAGGACTCAGACCCCAGACCAGCGTACGTCCACTCTATACACTACTCTCTCCCTCAGGACTCAGACCCCAGACCAGCGTACGTCCACTCTGTACACTACTCTCTCCCTCAGGACTCAGACCCCAGACCAGCGTACGTCCACTCTATACACTACTCTCTCCCTCAGGACTCAGACCCCAGACCAGCGTACGTCCACTCTATACACTACTCTCTCCCTCAGGACTCAGACCCCAGACCAGCGTACGTCCACTCTATACACTACTCTCTCCCTCAGGACTCAGACCCCAGACCAGCGTACGTCCACTCTATACACTAGTCTCTCGCCTCAGGACTCAGACCCCAGACCAGCGTACGTCCACTCTATACACTACTCTCTCCCTCAGGACTCAGACCCCAGACCAGCGTACGTCCACTCTATACACTACTCTCTCCCTCAGGACTCAGACCAGCGTACGTCCACTCTGTACACTACTCTCTCCCTCAGAACTCAGACCCTAGACCAGTGTACGTTCACTCTATACACTACTCTCTCCCTCAGGACTCAGACCCCAGACCAGCGTACGTCCACTCTATACACTACTCTCTCCCTCAGGACTCAGACCCCAGACCAGTGTACGTTCACTCTATACACTACTCTCTCCCTCAGGACTCAGACCCCAGACCAGCGTACGTCCACTCTATACACTACTCTCTCCCTCAGGACTCAGACCCCAGACCAGCGTACGTCCACTCTATACACTACTCTCTCCCTCAGGACTCAGACCCCAGACCAGCGTACGTCCACTCTATACACTACTCTCTCCCTCAGGACTCAGACCAGCTTACGTCCACCCAGCTGCTGGACTGGGAAACGCTTCCCATGTTCTCCAGACTTTCTCATCATGCGTTTCTCTCCACACAGACTGCGAGCGCCTCCGTGTTTGAGGTGGGCATGAAGCTGGAGGCGGTGGACCGGAAGAACCCGTGTCTGGTGTGTGTGGCCAGCGTCGCCGACATCGTGGACAACAGATTCCTCGTTCACTTTGACAACTGGGACGACACGTACGACTACTGGTGAGTCCAGTCGCTTTATTTCTGCTGCGCTCTATACAGTACAGCTTGATTAGATTAGATTACCTTTGTCATTATAGGACATATATAGACAGATAGATAGACAGATATATAGACAGATAGATAGATAGACTGTTAGATAGACGGATATATACACTCACCTAAAGGATTATTAGGAACACCTGTTCAATTTCTCATTAATGCAATTATCTAATCAACCAATCACATGGCAGTTGCTTCGATGCATTTAGGGGTGTGGTCCTGGTCAAGACAATCTCCTGAACTCCAAACTGAATGTCAGTATGGGAAAGAAAGGTGATTTAAGCAATTTTGAGCGTGGCATGGTTGTTGGTGCCAGATGGGCCGGTCTGAGTATTTCACAATCTGCTCAGTTACTGGGATTTTCACGCACAACCATTTCTAGGGTTTGCAAAGAATGGTGTGAAAAGGGAAAAACATCCAGTATGCGGCAGTCCTGTGGGCGAAAATGCCTTGTTTATGCTAGAGGTCAGAGGAGAATGGGCCGACTGATTCAAGCTGATAGAAAAGCAACTTTGACTGAAATAACCACTCGTTACAACCGAGGTATGCAGCAAAGCATTTGTGAAGCCACAACACGCACAACCTTGAGGCGGATGGGCTACAACAGCAGAAGACTCCACCGGGTACCACTCATCTCCACTACAAATAGGAAAAAGAGGCTACAATTTGCAAGAGCTCACCAAAAGTGGACAGTTGAAGACTGGAAAAATGTTGCCTGGTCTGATGAGTCTCGATTTCTGTTGAGACATTCAGATGGTAGAGTCAGAATTTGGCGTAAACAGAATGAGAACATGGATCCATCATGCCTTGTTACCACTGTGCAGGCTGGTGGTGGTGGTGTAATGGTGTGGGGGATGTTTTCTTGGCACACTTTAGGCCCCTTAGTGCCAATTGGGCATCGTTTAAATGCCACGGCCTACCTGAGCATTGTTTCTGACCATGTCCATCCCTTTATGGCCACCATGTACCCATCCTCTGATGGCTACTTCCAGCAGGATAATGCACCATGTCACAAAGCTCGAATCATTTAAAATTGGTTTCTTGAACATGACAATGAGTTCACTGTACTAAAATGGCCCCCACAGTCACCAGATCTCAACCCAATAGAGCATCTTTGGGATGTGGTGGAACGGGAGCTTCGTGCCCTGGATGTGCATCCCACTAATCTCCATCAACTGCAAGATGCTATCCTATCAATATGGGCCAACATTTCTAAAGAACGGATAGATGGATAGATAGATAGACGGATAGATAGATAGATAGACGGATAGATAGATAGATAGATAGATAGATAGATAGATAGATAGATAGGTAGATAGGTATATAGTTAAGTTACTATCACAATACCATAACTGTACTTTTTGTAAAATTTGTTTATCATTGATCTGTGTGAAATATTAATATACATTAACAATATGAAAAGTGTCGAAACGGCTGAATATGCAAAAAACCTGATAAAAACAAACATTCAATACATCATAAGAAGGGAAGAGATGAAAGAATGTAGAATAAAGGCTGTGTAATGAGGATGATTCATAAGAGGTGTGATGCACAGATGAATTATTACACGTCTCTGATATCCAGTGGATGTTTACTGGAGGTTGTGACTGTTTAGTGTAGCATCACATTAATATGCACGTCCACTTCTGCTTATGTAACGTGTGTTTATAACGACTGATTGATTCCAGTCCCGCACTCGTATCCACTGATGCACGTCTGTGTTTTACATAAATCCACATTACCGCTGGGATTTGATTTGCTCATGAAAAGCCCCGGAGAGGAAGAGGAGGTAAAAATAGAGTCGGTCCCACACACACACACACACACAGAGATAGAGACGAGTGTGTGAGTGTGTTCTCACTGCAGATATAAATGGATTAATGCAGAAAAATCATAAACTCTGTTCTGTGTGTGTTATTACTGTGTGTATCCAGCAGGAGAAGCTCTCACACAGATGCTCACAGCGAGGCTTCAGGAAGAGATCATACACACAACATCAGACACCAGATATCATTTTGATATTATTTCACTAGTGTGTGCAGGACACTATAGTTCATTTATGTAAGTGAGGAGAGCAAAATAAAGTAAACTGTGACATATTACACCTAAATATTCTTCATACAGTGACTACCAGTGACATATTTGGGGCCAATAATGATTCCTCCACTTTGAGCTGATCATGTTCTGCTGAAGTGTGTTTTCTGTAATTGCTAATGCTCTTTTTACACACACACTGAACAACATGAAGCATTGCTTGGTCACTGGTTGAACTAAACTGGTATTATCTAATTGTGTAGTTAAATTTAACAGCTGACAGATATTCAACATAATTCATGTGTGAGAGTCTAACAGAAGGACGGACAAAACCAGTCAAATATCATATTTCTTGTCATATATTTTCTAAACTATAGCGAATAAACTGTGATAATGTGAGAATGGTGTCTGAATAAATTTCGGTTTGACTGTATATTATTTGTCGTCATGAAAAAAGCAAAGCCCACTGTACACACACACATGTTGGTTTCAAAAACTCTTCTCCATTGGCTGGATAAACGCAGAAAGTGATGCTGATGTTGTGTGTTTTGTTTGCTGATGTTGTGTGTTTTGTTTGGTCAGGTGTGACGCGAGCAGTCCTCACATTCACCCGGTGGGCTGGTGTCAGGATCACGGCCGCCCGCTCACGGCACCTCAGGGTGGGTATGAACCCGACAGGACCCGTTTATTTGTATAGCGCTTCTCACAACACATCATTTCACAGCAGCTTTACAGAAAACACACATTACAGTTTACAGTGATCCGTTATTATCAGAGGAAACTGTCTAAGTTATGCATTTCAGAAATGTACGTATACAAAATCACAGTTAGCTAAAGATGTATTCATTTTTAAACAATGTAATAATTTAATGCAGAAACTATGAGCTCATTGAAGTAATGAATACTTGTTTGTTAACAGATGATTATGACATTTAGAAAATATAGCATATATTTAGTGTATAGTATATTGTATACCCCTACTGCAAAAAATGCTTTTTTACTTAGTATTTTTGTCTTGTTTCCAGTCCAAATATCAAAAAAAAAAAATTAAATCAAGATGCATTTACTAGATGAGATATTAGATATAATGTCGCGTATTCCGGGGGAATTAATCAAAATTAAGTTGATGCTTAAAAAAAGCAAAATTATCTGCAAATGGGGGAAGAAAAATAATGTTAATTCAAACAGAAACAAGTTTATTTTTCTGACCCCATTGACCGATAATTTAGCTTGTTTTAAGCAAAAACTCACTTGTAGCCAATCACAGACATATCCAATGAGCTCGTGAACACAATGGCCAATCAGAGGCGTTTACGACTCCGCTCTTAAGCGCTCAAAGCCTCACATTTTCTCACAACCTCACAAAGTGCTCATTATAATAATTCATGCGCAGAATAAAGGGGCGGGGCCTGGTGGAGTTAGTTAGTAGTGTGTTAAACTGGCGGTTATGGAAAGGGGCGGGACATTTCCCAAACACACTCGAAGCGCTCGACCAATCACAACACACTGCTCCAGCCGACCAATCAGAGCACAGTGTGCTTTCAGAAGGAGGGGCTTCATAGAGACAGGAAGTAAACAGAGCGTTACTGACAGACTGGGAAGAGAGGAGCCGCAACAATGGAGAATATGAGGAGAATAATCAACATCAAGACTTTGAGGGCATAATATATGGAAGCTTGTTTCCGCCACAGAATAAAATATAAAAAGGTAATTGCGACTTTTTATCTTGCAATTCTGACTTATTAATATAAACTCACAATTGCGAGTAATAAAGTCAGAATTGTGTGTGATATTATGCCCTCAAAGTCTTGATGTTGTTTTAGGCTCGACTAGAACATGTTTTCCTCCGCAATGAGTGTTATAAAGTCAGAATTGCGAGATGTAAACTCAAAATTGTGAGATATAATGTCCCAATTATCTTTTAAGATGTTTTATTCTGTAGCGGAAACAAGCCTCCATAATAATAGGTTCTCACATGACTGTATGCAAAAGCATTTAGCAGGACTGTTGAGGAGTGTGTGTGTGTGTGTGTGTGTGTGTGTGTGTGTGTGTGTGTGTGTGTGTGTGTGAGGACCGTCAGTAAATCATCCGAACGAGAGCGTTTGCCTTGAGGAATCCGATCAGACATGACCTCGATTCAGCACAGCACACGCTATCTGTTTAAACTCAGATTTACACAACACTTCCGCCGTACGTACAGGTGTGTGTGATTGTGTGTGATTGTGTGTATCTGTGTTTTAGGACACCCCAATCCAGAGCATTTCACCTGGGACGATTACATGGAAGACACCAGCGCATCTGCCGCCCCGAGTCAAGCCTTTTGTGTGGTGAGAGTGTGTTTCATAGCAGTGTGTGTGAGTGTGTTTCATAGCAGTGTGTGTGAGTGTGTTTCATAGCAGTGTGAGTGTGTGTGTGTGTGTGAGTGAGAGTGTGTTTCATAGCAGTGTGTGAGTGTGTTTCATAGCAGTGTGAGTGTGTGTGTGTGTGAGTGAGTGAGAGTGTGTTTCATAGCAGTGTGTGTGAGTGTGTTTCATAGCAGTGTGAGTGTGTGTGTGTGAGTGAGTGAGAGTGTGTTTCATAGCAGTGTGTGAGTGTGTTTCATAGCAGTGTGAGTGTGTGTGTGTGTGTGTGAGTGAGTGAGAGTGTGTTTCATAGCAGTGTGTGTGTGTGTGAGTGAGAGTGTGTTTCATAGCAGTGTGTGTGTGAGTGTGTTTCATAGCTGTGTGAGTGAGTGTGAGTGAGAGAGAGTGAGCGTTAGTGAGAGAGTGAGCGTGAGAGTGTGTGTGAGAGAGAGTGAGTGTGTGAGAGTTAGTGAGTGTGAGAGTGAGCGTTAGTGAGAGAGTGAGTGTGTGTGTGAGTGAGAGTGTTTTTCATAGCAGTGTGTGTGAGTGTATTTCATAGCTGTGTGAGTGAGTGTGTGTGAGTGAGTTTGAGTGTGAGTGCGAGTGTGAGCGAGAGAGAGAGCGTGAGTGTGTGAGTGAGTGAGCGAGCGAGAATGAGAGAGTGAGAGAGAGTAAGTGTGAGAGTGAGAGTGAGAGTGTTTTTCATAGCAGTGTGTGTGAGTTTGAGTGTGAGTGCGAGTGTGAGAGTGTGAGTGAGTGAGTGAGTGTGAGCGAGAATGAGAGAGTGAGTGTGTGAGTGAGTGTGAGCGAGCGAGAATGAGAGCGTGAGTGTGTGAGTGAGTGAGCGAGCGAGAATGAGAGAGTGAGAGAGAGTAAGTGTGAGAGTGAGAGTGAGAGTGTTTTTCATAGCAGTGTGTGTGAGTTTGAGTGTGAGTGCGAGTGTGAGTGAGTGAGTGTGAGCGAGCGAGAATGAGAGTGAGAGTGTGTGTGAGAGTTAGTGAGAGTGAGAGTGTGTGTGTGAGTGAGAGAGTGAGTTGAGAGTGCCGCTCCAGCCGCTCATGAAGCTGGAGTGTGTGTGTGTGTGTGTGTGTGTGTTCTGACCTGTGGTGTTCCTGTAGAGACCGGCTCACGGGTTCCAGCCGCTCATGAAGCTGGAGTGTGTGTGTGTGTGTGTGTGTGTGTGCGTGCGTGTGTGTGTGTGTGTGTGTGTGTGTGTGTGTGTGTGTGTGTGTGTGTGTGTGTGTGTGTGTGTGTGTGTGTGTGTGTGTGTGTGTGTGTGTGTGTGTGTGTGTGTGTGTGTGTGTGTGTGTGTGCGCGTGTGCGCGTGTGTGCGTGTGTGCGTGTGTGTGTGTGTGTGTGTTCTGACCTGTGGTGTTCCTGTAGAGACCGGCTCACGGGTTCCAGCCGCTCATGAAGCTGGAGTGTGTGTGTGTGTGTGTGTGTGTGTGTGTGTTCTGACCTGTGGTGTTCCTGTAGAGACCGGCTCACGGGTTCCAGCCGCTCATGAAGCTGGAGTGTGTGTGTGTGTGTGTGTGTGTGTGTGTGTGTGCGGGTGTGTGTGTGTGTGTGTGTGTGTGTTCTGACCTGTGGTGTTCCTGTAGAGACCGGCTCACGGGTTCCAGCCGCTCATGAAGCTGGAGTGTGTGTGTGCGTGTGTGTGTGTGTGTGTGTTCTGACCTGTGGTGTTCCTGTAGAGACCGGCTCACGGGTTCCAGCCGCTCATGAAGCTGGAGTGTGTGTGTGTGTGTGTGTGTGTGTGTTCTGACCTGTGGTGTTCCTGTAGAGGCCGGCTCACGGGTTCCAGCCGCTCATGAAGCTGGAGTGTGTGGACAGGAGAAACCCGATGCTGATCCGCGTCGCCACCGTCACCGACACCGAAGACTACAGAGTCAAAGTGAGGAAGAGCTGATCGCTCCGTTACACACGTCACACATTTTGAATGCAGGGTTTGTACAAGGAGCTTGAAGGTGCTTGAATTATTGAAATGTAAGTCCTGGAAAACCCTTGAAAATGGCCATATTTATGAAATAGTCCTTGAAAAGTTCTTGAATTATTAAAAGAGAATATATGTGAAGTTAGTGTTTAATTTTATCGATGAAACAATCTTTTCACACACAATTTCTGCTGTAGTCCGTCTGATATTGAGGCATTTCTCATGGCTATGAGTGTGATATTGCTCATAAATATCCCAGTATATGATACAGCTTTCATTCCTCAAATCATATATTCATGGGGGGGGGGGGGGGGGAATCATATTTAATAAGGAAAGCGATATCTTTGTCATAGTATCCTTTCAATGGTTAAAGTTACTAGTCATTGCATCTCCTGCACTTTATTTCTACCATTTTGTTTTATTGGTTTATTTTCATTTGTTTATTTTTCATAATTTGAAAGAAATTAAGGATATTGTTTAATAAGTGAGATCTCTGATTGAAAAAAGTAGTGCTTGAAAAGTCCTGGAATTGCATTTAACAGTGTCTGTACGAACCCTGTGAATGCCTCCATTTATTTTAAATAGAATATTTGATCATTATGAATGTCTTTATTGCAGTTTAATGCATCCTTGATGAATACAAGTATTGATTTATTTCTTTTTTGACCCCAAATCATCTCTATATTTATTATTTTTTGGACTCAAGTTTCTAGTTTCTTTGTTGTGTTATGTTCATGGCCTCATCTGAATGGATGACTGCAGATGTAAGAGAAACGCGTGTGTGTTTGGTGTATTGTGTTGTTGTGTAATGAGGATCTCTCGGCTCCTCAGGTGCATTTCGACGGCTGGCATGAGAAGTTTGATTTCTGGGTGGATTCAGATCTGCCGGATCTTCATCCGATGGGCTGGTGCTCCAGGACGGGTCACCCGCTAGAACCACCACTCGGTGAGTGTGTGTGTGTGTGAAAGAGAGAGTCTGTTCCCATTATGCCACACTAATAGAACACACATGATGAATTACTCGGCTGACCGGAGAGACGTGAAGTTTTACTGTGTTTAGTATGATATATGAAGCGTTATTATCATCCGAGTGTGTGTGTGTGTGTGTGTGGAACTGAAATAGCCGCTGGTCACTAGAGTAATGCTATAGAAACATGTTACATTAGTGTTTCATGGAGTCAAATGCAGGCTAATGCACTGCGCTCATTCATTGTGTGTTATGTATTGTTGTTTTGAGCGTGTGTATTGTTGTTTTGAGCGTGTGTGTTGTTGTTTTGAGCGTGTGTATTGTTGTTTTGAGCGTGTGTTTTGTTGTTTTGAGCGTGTGTATTGTTGTTTTGAGCGTGTGTGTTGTTGTTTTGAGCGTGTGTATTGTTGTTTTGAGCGTGTGTATTGTTGTTTTGAGCGTGTGTATTGTTGTTTTGAGCGTGTGTATTGTTGTTTTGAGCGTGTGTATTGTTGTTTTGAGCGTGTGTATTGTTGTTTTGAGCGTGTGTATTGTTGTTTTGAGCGTGTGTATTGTTGTTTTGAGCGTGTGTATTGTTGTTTTGAGCGTGTGTTTTGTTGTTTTGAGCGTGTGTATTGTTGTTTTGAGCGTGTGTATTGTTGTTTTGAGCGTGTGTGAGCGTGTGTATTGTTGTTTTGAGCATATGTGTTGTTTTGAGCGTGTGTATTGTTGTTTTGAGCGTGTGTGTTGTTTTGAGCGTGTGTATTGTTGTTTTGAGCGTGTGTGTTGTTGTTTTGAGCGTGTGTATTGTTGTTTTGAGCGTGTGTGTTGTTTTGAGCGTGTGTATTGTTGTTTTGAGCGTGTGTATTGTTGTTTTGAGCGTGTGTGTTGTTGTTTTGAGCGTGTGTATTGTTGTTTTGAGCGTGTGTATTGTTGTTTTGAGCGTGTGTATTGTTGTTTTGAGCGTGTGTATTGTTGTTTTGAGCGTGTGTGTTGTTTTGAGCGTGTGTATTGTTGTTTTGAGCGTGTGTATTGTTGTTTTGAGCGTGTGTATTGTTGTTTTGAGCGTGTGTATTGTTGTTTTGAGCGTGTGTATTGTTGTTTTGAGCATATGTGTTGTTTTGAGCGTGTGTATTGTTGTTTTGAGCGTGTGTGTTGTTTTGAGCGTGTGTGTTGTTGTTTTGAGCGTGTGTATTGTTGTTTTGAGCGTGTGTGTTGTTTTGAGCGTGTGTATTGTTGTTTTGAGCGTGTGTATTGTTGTTTTGAGCGTGTGTGTTGTTGTTTTGAGCGTGTGTATTGTTGTTTTGAGCGTGTGTATTGTTGTTTTGAGCGTGTGTATTGTTGTTTTGAGCGTGTGTATTGTTGTTTTGAGCGTGTGTATTGTTGTTTTGAGCGTGTGTATTGTTGTTTTGAGCGTGTGTATGCGTGTGTATTGTTGTTTTGAGCGTGTGTATTGTTGTTTTGAGCGTGTGTTTTGTTGTTTTGAGCGTGTGTATTGTTGTTTTGAGCGTGTGTTTTGTTGTTTTGAGCGTGTGTATTGTTGTTTTGAGCGTGTGTATTGTTGTTTTGAGCGTGTGTATGCGTGTGTATTGTTGTTTTGAGCGTGTGTATTGTTGTTTTGAGCGTGTGTATTGTTGTTTTGAGCGTGTGTATTGTTGTTTTGAGCGTGTGTATTGTTGTTTTGAGCATGTGTATTGTTGTTTTGAGCGTGTGTATTGTTGTTTTGAGCGTGTGTATTGTTGTTTTGAGCGTGTGTATTGTTGTTTTGAGCGTGTGTATTGTTGTTTTGAGCGTGTGTATTGTTGTTTTGAGCGTGTGTATTGTTGTTTTGAGCGTGTGTATTGTTGTTTTGAGCGTGTGTTTTGTTGTTTTGAGCGTGTGTATTGTTGTTTTGAGCGTGTGTTTTGTTGTTTTGAGCGTGTGTATTGTTGTTTTGAGCGTGTGTATTGTTGTTTTGAGCGTGTGTTTTGTTGTTTTGAGCGTGTGTATTGTTGTTTTGAGCGTGTGTATTGTTGTTTTGAGCGTGTGTATTGTTGTTTTGAGCGTGTGTATTGTTGTTTTGAGCGTGTGTTTTGTTGTTTTGAGCGTGTGTATTGTTGTTTTGAGCGTGTGTATTGTTGTTTTGAGCGTGTGTATTGTTGTTTTGAGCGTGTGTATTGTTGTTTTGAGCGTGTGTGTTGTTGTTTTGAGCGTGTGTGTTGTTGTTTTGAGCGTGTGTATTGTTGTTTTGAGCATATGTGTTGTTTTGAGCGTGTGTATTGTTGTTTTGAGCGTGTGTGTTGTTTTGAGCGTGTGTATTGTTGTTTTGAGCGTGTGTGTTGTTGTTTTGAGCGTGTGTATTGTTGTTTTGAGCGTGTGTATTGTTGTTTTGAGCGTGTGTATTGTTGTTTTGAGCGTGTGTATTGTTGTTTTGAGCGTGTGTGTTGTTTTGAGCGTGTGTGTTGTTGTTTTGAGCGTGTGTATTGTTGTTTTGAGCGTGTGTATTGTTGTTTTGAGCGTGTGTATTGTTGTTTTGAGCGTGTGTATTGTTGTTTTGAGCGTGTGTATTGTTGTTTTGAGCGTGTGTATGCGTGTGTATTGTTGTTTTGAGCGTGTGTATTGTTGTTTTGAGCGTGTGTTTTGTTGTTTTGAGCGTGTGTATTGTTGTTTTGAGCGTGTGTTTTGTTGTTTTGAGCGTGTGTATTGTTGTTTTGAGCGTGTGTATTGTTGTTTTGAGCGTGTGTATTGTTGTTTTGAGCGTGTGTATTGTTGTTTTGAGCGTGTGTATTGTTGTTTTGAGCGTGTGTATTGTTGTTTTGAGCGTGTGTATTGTTGTTTTGAGCGTGTGTATTGTTGTTTTGAGCGTGTGTATTGTTGTTTTGAGCGTGTGTATTGTTGTTTTGAGCGTGTGTATTGTTGTTTTGAGCGTGTGTATTGTTGTTTTGAGCGTGTGTATTGTTGTTTTGAGCGTGTGTTTTGTTGTTTTGAGCGTGTGTTTTGTTGTTTTGAGCGTGTGTATTGTTGTTTTGAGCGTGTGTATTGTTGTTTTAAAGCACACGCAGGGCTCTCAGACGTGAAGAGCTCGGTGACGCAGGGTGTGTGTCCGACTCCGGGCTGCAGGGGCATCGGACACATCAAAGGAGCAAAATACACCGGACACCACAGGTGAGACGCACACACACACACACACACACACACACACACACAACCATCATATACACTTTTAGGACGATGACATCACGGTTTACTCCAGAGTGGCTATATATATATTTAAATTAATAACTTTTTACAGCCAAAATGAAACATCACTGAGCTTACAAAATCTGTGACGCTTTTCTCTTCTAGAAACAAACTTTGTTGGATTATTCTCCTGTTATCTCTGTAAAGCTGCTCTGAAACACTCTGTGTTGTAAAAAGCACTGTATAAATAAACGTGACTTGACTATGATCTACTTTTTGAGCTACAAGAAAGCAGAATATTAATTTTTGGGTGAATGAAAGCTTTATTCAAGGCAAGTATTGTGTTGTTGTCTGTGATCTTGAGGAGTTTGTGAGGACTGGATGAACGCATCTGTTGAAGCTCTTAGCCAACAGCCTGTGTGTCCCAATCCCAGCATGCACCTGTGTGTCCCAATCCCAGCATGCACCTGTTCTCTCTGAGTAAAGTCACGGCTTGAGTATTCATAATTCATTCGTTTTGGACTATCATGAAACTGATGAAATATAATGGCTGAATCAATCACCAGTTTTCATCTGCAAATAAAGCTGAGTATCATCAGCATAAAAATGCAAAGAAACATTATGCTTCCTAATAATATTCCCAAGCAAAAGCATATATACAGTCAAACTGAAACTTATTCAGACTCCTTCAACATTTCTCACATCATCACAGTTTAATGGTAATAAATATGAGCAGAACTCAGAGTTCTCAGATCAGTGGATATTTGACTGGTTTTGTCCGTCCTTCTGTTAGACTCTCACACATGAATTATGTTGAATATCTGTCAGCTGTTAAATTTAACTACACAATTAGATAATACCAGTTTAGCTCAACCAGTGACCAAGCAATGCTTCATGTTGTTCAGTCTGTGTGTAAAAAGAGCATTAGCAATTACAGAAAACACACTTCAGCAGAACATGATCAGCTCAAAGTGTCAAATTTGTATAATTTTTTCTGGTAGTCAGTCACTGTATGAAGAGTTTTTGGGTGTAATATGTCACAGTTTACTTTATTTTGCTCTCCTCACTTACATAAATGAACTATAGTGTCCTGCACAGACTAGTAAAACAATATAAAAAATGATATCTGGTGTCAGAATAATTTTTGGTTTGACTGTATGTTAAAAAGAAACGGGCCCAGTATTGAACCCTGGGGTACCCCACTAATAATAAGGACTGAGTATGAGGAAAACGTACCCAAAGCTACACAGAAAGCAGGGCTCGACATAAGCAATGGCCCGATGGCCCGGGGCCAGTAAAAGAGTATGTCGGGCTAGTTGATTGGCCAGTCACTGGCCCGCGCGGGCCATTAAAATGTCAAAGAACTACGAGGCTGATACGAGAAAGAGGACATTCCTATAGGGCTGGGCGGTAAATAGAGTTTGTACAATATATCGATTTTTTTTAAACGATAGGGAATGAGGCAATACTGTTTCGATACAGTAGTTTGATACGAGCACATCTGAAAAATAGCGGAGTACGCAGTGTGAGCTCCTGCAGTGAAAAACATAGTACAATTTGTCCTAAACATGACACAAGCTTATATTAAGCACTTCAAAATAACTGGTAAGATATAGTTAACAAGTTTAAAGCAGCTTGCCCTGTCAGATGCTCTGACAGATAACGTTACTGTTGCTGACTGACAGATAAATACTTGCGCTGTTTAATGCGTTTGAGACGTGGTGCTTTCCTCAGTGCTTAACTTACATTTTAGAGGTATATTCTCCATCTGTAAATGTTAGAAAGTCAAACAAATATGTCCATTTCACTGTCAGGAGAGGACGAGCTTCTGCAAGTGAATCTCCGCTAATATTCAAGCTTCCGTGAACGAGCGCCGCCGCGAGCACGCGCGCCTAACAGACGAGCACAATAAAGAGTAGCGCAATAATTCTGACTAAAAGATACATATTGCTAAAATATTTGTTGTTGGAGACAATAAATGTGCCATATGTGGAATTTTAAACCTACAAGTAGGCCTATGTTTTTATGAAAGTGAGCATTATAACGGGTAATCAAATGCAGGCTATATAATTAGTTGTGCTTTTGTTTTTATTTTCATTTTTATTTTAGCCTTAGTCATTTTAAAAACAAAAGCATTATTTTTGTTTTTAGATTGTAATGTTAGAATGTAATGTGATTTTAACCACCTTTTTGCACGTAATATATTGCATAGCCTACATTACATTCACTATATTTGTTTCCATATCCTTCAATATCAACATTGTTTGGATATCATTAAGCAGGATGTGAAATTTAAAAAAAAAAAAAAATACAGATTTTCTTTATCCAAATAGAAAAACGTAGAAAGTACCGAGATATATATCGTATATCGCCATTTAACCAAAAAATACCGAGATATGATTTTTTGGCCATATCGCCCAGTCCTATTCCTAGTGTCATGGAAAACGCAGTACACCTGGGTGGAGAAAGGCGATGAGGGCATGTACTGTTTCGTTTGCCGGAAATTTACAACAAAAGCCGACCAAAATGCAAAATGCATAACCGGCCTGCCGAGTGCCGACGGGCTATCTAAAAATAGTGTAATCAAATTCCCCCCTAAACTTCTGCCTAGCCCCCCTAAAAATGTGTGATTAAGTGTAAGCTACACAAATTTGTGTTCGCTTCAGTCTTGTTATAATCAGATTCAGCACGTTCTTCATTTTTTCTTCATTGACAGTTTTTTAGGTCATAAATGTTAAACGTATGACAAAAATAATCAGGCAAACTAATATATTTTTGTCTAATTTCGCCATTTTGAAGTGAAAATATAGCCTATGTAACTCATCACTCATGTAATGTAATAATTAGTTTACTGTCATTGTGAGGGGCCAAGAAAAATTTATCCTAATGTATACAATAAATACAGTTTAATGTAAAAGTGCTTTTCATTCTATTTCTTTCAGGGCCAGTAAAAATATAGAAGGGGCCAGTAAAACTCTGATCTACTGGCCCTGGGGGCCAGTGGGGATTTTTTTTTATGTTGAGCCCTGCAGAAAGGCCTTTATTTAATATAAGAACAAAACTTGTGCTTCTCTCAGTGGCATCTGCTCACAAACGAGCCGTAAACGAGCGCTAAACGAGCTCAGGTGGGGAAGAGTGCGATCCCACAATATAGCGGACCCTCGGATCTCTCCTCCTTCGTTCAGCAGCGCTGCTATTCCTGTAGCTCACCTTTCCCAGCCATATAATCACCGGAGAATCAGCTGCTCACATATAGAGAAACGATACTGTCTTTTTTTAGAAAGCCACTTCTGATTACACAGACAGCGTAAGAAAGGAACTGCGCTTCGGCAAAGTCCTCTCTGCTTAGAGATGGAATTTTGAAATTGGTTTCATTAAAACCTCATTTCCATCCTATTTGCATACAGTTTATCTCCAAACTAGCAGTTTAAGCAGAACGTTGCAGTCGTGTCAGTATTCTTGGGCTGCTGTGGTTTGCATCACTTTAATAAACGTCCTCTAGAGTTAAATGAGTTTGACACTCAGACTTTGTTTATATGAGACAACCAAAGCCATTATTACAGTGAACAAGAGCTATATGAGCTGAACTATATTCCAATAGATGCATAATTAAACATGCATATAATGAGTAATCATAATCTTCCACCGCCTCGTCTACTGGAGCTTCGTAATTCAATCTTTATTATAGATGAACTGATTATCTGTTACAGTGTAGTTTTATTTTTATTTTTAATTTTGCATGCATCTTAAATTTTACTTATTTATTTATTTTTATTTAGTTTGTATTTGTATTCATTTTCTAATTTTTATTTAATATAAAAAAAAACAATTTGTGTACTTTTAATTTTTTTATTTGTGTATTTTATTTTATCTCGCACGCATCTTAAATTTTACTTGTTATTTATTTATTTATTTATTTTTTATTCTTTTTAATATTAAATTAAATGCATTAAATTAATAATATTTTTGAGTATTTTAAAAATGGTTGTCCTGTTTTATAATTTAATGTAAATTTTTATTTCAGTTTTATACAAGCTATATGAGCTGAACTATATTCCATTAGATGCATAATTTAACATGCATATTATAATGAGTAATCATAATCTTCCACCGCCTCGTCTATGGGAGCTTCATAATTTAATCTTTATTATAAATGAACTCATTATCTGTTACAGTGTAGGATGAGAAACATAAAGCCGTGTTTTGGCCGCTTGAATATGAATGTCACTTTGAGCTCATGCTGCAATGAATAAATAAATAATATTATAATATGTAAAGTGCAAGATGCACTGGTCGTTCTTTTCAATGCAGTCCAGCTGCATTATTTTCCTCACACACCGGTCGAGCTGTGTGAAGTGGTTTCTCCCAGTGCAGTGAGTGGATCTCTATTCTTAGATCCATATGCTGAGTTTGACCTGAGAATCTCCTGCCGCTCTTGAACAAGTCCCTGCTTCAACTCAGAACTTACGCAGTGAGTTTCCTGGAGTGAAGAGTGAGGAGTGAAGAAGGAGTGAGGAGTGAAGGAGGAGTGAGGAGTGAAGAAGGAGTGAGGAGTGAAGGAGTGAGGAGTGAAGAAGGAGTGAAGAAGGAGTGAGGAGTGAAGAAGGAGTGAGGAGTGAAGAAGGAGTGAGGAGTGAAGAAGGAGTGAGGAGTGAAGAAGGAGTGAGGAGTGAAGAAGGAGTGAGGAGTGGTGAGGAGTGAAGAAGGAGTGAGGAGTGGTGAGGAGTGAAGGAGGAGGAGTGAGGAGTGAAGAAGAAGGAGTGAGGAGTGAGAGTGAGGAGTGAGAGTGAGGAGTGGTGAGGAGTGATGAAGAAGGAGTGGGGAGTGAAGAGTGAAGAGTGAGGAGTGAGGAGTGAAGAAGAAGGAGTGAGGAGTGGTGAGGAGTGAGAGTGAGGAGTGGTGAGGAGTGAGAGTGAGGAGTGATGAAGAAGGAGTGGGGAGTGAGGAGTGAAGAGTGAGGAGTGAAGAGTGAGGAGTGAAGAGTG